TTTGAACTTAACAATGAATTAAATCAAAAATCGATCACCAAAATGACCAGTGTTTGGCGATAATTCAACTCGTTTGTACATCAACTCTTCATTTCGATGATGGGCTGTGTCTGGTGTGCTCCAGTATGTGTTTCTGTGTCAATGACCTTTAATCGCAGAAATAATAACTGAATGGGTAAATCGCACAGAGTACTCTTTGAAACATACTTTTGAAAAAAGTGAATAAACTTAAAAGGTAAAATGACAGCTTCAAGTCACAAAATACAAATTCTTCGTACGGTTGCCGATAATTACTTACATCCACTTTATTTGAACTTAAGATTAAAGAATACAGATTTGAAGAAAACCCCGCAAAGACCTTAATATAACTATACTACACGACAAGTCAGCATTTATGGACAAAACATTAATGTTAAGTAAATAAATTGATGCATTATCAAAATTTTGAACGTATGTAAAAGTAGCCTTTCCCTGACAAAAATAATAGAGTAAATTACGACTATTTACGAGTCCTTACGATTTTGCAGCCGTTATACCTTTCCATGAATCGTAAACAATACTTAAGAATACGTATCTATTCCTTAAGCATACGTATTTATTCGTAAACTCGGAACAATCCGTAAAGCCATCGTAACACGACCCGAATGAATCGTAAACAACAGGTAAGCATTCGTAATAATCCGTAAACAAATGGTAATCTAACCCTAACAAATTGTTAAAACAAATGTAACTAGTCATTTCGAATTCTTGCGAGCAGTTAACGGATGGTTACGTGTTGTTGCGCGCGGTTTACAAGCGGTTTACGATACTTACGGATTGTTACGAGTTATTTGTGGAAAATTCAATCTGTGGACAATCGCAAGAAGATTTTTGACATGTCAAAAAAATTGCCTCTCCTTTCACGGATGCGAGTTGTGTCCGTGAGGACTCGTTAGAAAATGCGTGTATGTGAAGGGCGCATAATATGCACAATTATCTTACCTCCTATACATTTCTAGGAATATGATTGGTTAAGGTTGAGGAAAAAACTGAAACGTTTCACCCGGACAGCAGATGAAGAAATTGATGATGAACGATTGAAATGAATTCATAAAACACATTAAAAGCTAACAAGTTGTTATTGTTGGCATTTGTTTTTTGGATAGACCAATTGAAGTAGGTTCTTTATATTGAAGACTTGATCACTTTGACAGGTCACTGGTCTAAATGCCACATGTTAAGATAGTCGGTAAGATAAATTCGTTACACAGTGGTCACTAGCAAACTGTGTAACTACCAATGCCATCTACCGAGAAGCTAGGTATATGATACTGGTAGGAATCAATGATACATTTTGTCAATAAAATGAAATGAAAACTTATATATTTGGTGCGACCGAAGCGCTTTTCTGGTATAACCTTCAACAGGAACTATCAAACTCTCCAAAAAATGAAAACCGGAAATATTTAAATACCTGAATAAATCTTCAGTTTCTTAAAAGGTGTAATTATGGTATATTCGAGGTTGTAACTTGCCCCGGGCAAAGCTGACCGAAGATTGACGTTGGCTGTTCTGTCTGATCCTGTTGATGTTGTGCTCTGTTACGCTAACATAACTAGCGTTTCTATAGAAGTTTATTCAAGAAACAAGCCTTGTGCGCAATCATATCGGATGTTGTTTTATACTTGTACCTAACAATATTTAATGAATTATCATTATACACAAACATTTCATTGACTAGTATAATAAGATTTATTATTTGATTGATTGTATTTACGTCAGTATTTACTTCAGGTAAACCACTTGTACTTTTTCTAAGTTTGAATGTATATTGAATCCGTTTGTGGTTGTTTGTTCACTCGTGCAAATTATTGAAACCTTTGCCATGATTTCAATCAACAAATTTAGAGTCATACACGATTTTAAGTTACCTTTATTTATCTTATATATCAAATAATAAAGCATTTCAGTTTCTCGTTAAAAGTTACAACAGAATTTACGTCCCTCCAGTTGTATTCACGACGTCCGCATAAAAAAATCACGTCTTCTCTGATTACTGTCTATTGTTAAAGACCGGATGTCTGGATGTCCTTTTAGACTAGATATCTTTTGGTGTTTCTGTATCGTATTGCATTATTGTCTAATTGACGTTTATTTCCCTTCTATTTCTTTATTTTTTATCAAGTGAAAGTTGTATAGTCTCGCTTAGTATGCAGCAAATTGTTACACATTGATTTACATACAATATTTGACATACTATTTGAAATACGATTCAACATCCTGTTAAGTATGTCTTGCTACTTCGCCAGTTTACAGATTTTCTTTCACAAAATATGTCCAATCAAACTTCGAAGATAAAAATGTAGAAGTAAATAGTTGGAAAGTGTTTTTTTTTATTTTCATTGAGGAAATGGACTTAGTGACCCAGACAACCTTAATGCCTTCCAAGAATTCGGGATCGGAAATTTTGATATGGTCACAACGTCATCCTGGTGGACCATATATAAAAACAAGTTGAACAATACAGGTGGAAAGGTTTGTTATCATACAAAATGTGGTAAGACATTGTTTACTTTAAGAGAAATAAATAAATATAAGTTTTAGGTTTATGTTAATGCTATTTGCTAAAAAATCACAAAAAATCTGTTTTTTTTTCATTTTTTAGATATTAGTTCTAAAATAACAAGCTTATTATAAAAAAAAATAATTTCTTCAATTATTATTGTACTTTTTTTTTCTTCGTTTTATTTGAATATATTCGGTAACTTACATTATTTTGTTACATATAGTATTGTATATTTTGAATGCATGTATGATATGTAGCAGGTGCAAATATACCTGTTTCAAAATAATGTGTTTATAACATCTTTATTTTGAGCCCTATTATATATATATAGTTAAACTCCAAAAATTTTATCTAGAGTATATTTCAAAATCGTCAAAATTGTCAAAACTGTGAGAGAAAAAACTCACTTTCAATCTCATTTAAAACCTTGAATCTCCTTCTTGTAAATTTATGCAGTTTTACAGTGTAATAACAGTTGCTAACTTGTTTGTTTGTTTGATTCTCTTTAGGTTTTTATGTTCTTGTATAAACAATTCTTGTACTTACAATTTTTGCATTAAAAAACGAAATACTTTATCACAAACTTGGAAGACTATAACAGTTGTATTAACAAACAGCGATTGACTTGCAATTTGAAATCAGTTTCACATTTTTTTTTTATTTCATTACAATTGTACTATCAATGCAGCCAGAGTCAGAGAATCAAGTGCCGAGTTTCTGGAATCTTGGCCTTACCATGAAAATACTCTATTACATCCAGTTAACATAATTGGGTGCTTGCCGATGTTTACATACTGGTCCCCAATAGTCTTTCATATTAACGACTGTAAAAATGCATCTTGTCATGATCTTAAACAAATGAATAGTTATTTTCAAATTGCAGTTAGATTTGCAAACGGCAATTTCTAGATACACGTACTTTATTTCTAATAGCGAAAAACAAGCTGAAACAGTTACAGCAAAGTTATATTAATAGCTATATAAAACCAAGACTGCAAAAAGCCGAGAAATGTTTAATATAGTACAAAATCAGTAAAATAAGTATAGCCAGTTTTTCCTGAATTTATTGCATTCTTAAAGTCCGATCCCGTATAAGTTAATGAATACTAATACTAACCCTAATAGCCATACGACTTAAATGTTATTCTGTTGTATACACTACTGTTGAAGACAATTTCATACAATATTGAAAAATTTACATGTTTTTGTTTTTGTTTGTTTGAGTAAAATTAGGCATCGAAATACATCGCTAACCTGGCAAGATTTCATTTTGAACCACCTTCTTATTACGTCAACACAGAGGTTGCCAGATTTGGACTTAGGACTTTACACTGAACAAAGTCCATCTGTAATAAAAGTATCCATGCTGAATTATTGATTTATTCATCGCTAGTTCAGAGTTCAAGAGTTAGTTTTCACCAGAGTTTCAGTCTCAGAAGTGTCATTGGTATTTAGAGCAATCGTTCGTTGTGTGATCAGGTGCATCACACAGTTTCAGTAACAAGAGGCCATTCAGTCAGGCTCTTGTTTCACACCCTACAAGTCACCCAATTTCCCGGTGACAGATTGGTGGTGACTTGTAGGGTGTGAAACAAGAGCCTGACTGAATGGCCTCTTGTTACTGAAACTGTGTGATGCACCTGATCACACAACGAACGATTGCTCTGAATAGCAATGACACTTCTGAGACTGAAACTCTGGTGAAAACTAACTCTTGAACTCTGAACTAGCGATGAATAAATCAATAATTCAGCATGGATCCTTTTATTTCAGATGGACTGTGTTCAGTGTAAAGTCCTAAGTCCAAATCTTGCTTATCAAAATTATAAACAAGTATTTATACACAATTGAAATGACAAGAATAAACATAACAAATAACTATTAATTTGAGTGATATTGTTCACTGTCAAGGATTAAACTATTTTTAGAACTTGAAGAATAAGGTTAATTTTCTAATCTGATTATGATATTTAAAAACATATAGCTATGAAAAAGGTAAAATGTCACTAATTAGCTAACGGAGTGAAACAGGTCACTCAATGGCCAAACTGAGAATTAAATGCATATCAAAGCATGTTGATTGAAGTCCTGGATATGAAATGTAAATAGAAACGAAAATAATATGAATTATAAAACACAGAGAATTAAAGTCTAAAATATCAAAATTGAGAAATGTATATTAAAGTCCAAAATAATAAACGAAGCTGCTTTTACCCTGGTCACACATACATCCTTTTCACACATTTTAAAGTCAATAAATCTGTGGTATTATGAATGCCACATATTCATTTTTTCGAAATGCAGGTGCAATGAGGTGTAAATGCATACAAAATTTCATATATACACAATTATGTATACTTGACCTTAAATCGGAGAGATTATTTTTCATATCGTTATTTCATTCAAAATCAAGGTTAATGCTCTCACTCATTTAGTTCCGTATGATTTAGGAATCAACTATATGCGTTACTACTACTGTTATTCATCCTTGGACCAGCAGGATGTCTTCAGATAAATCTAAACGCTCTAATGAAAGGCACACTGGATCAAATAATCATACCAAATATAAAAGGTCAACAGGAAAGGCCAGGCATAAGGCCAGGAGTAAGGCCAGGAAGACCAGGAATAAACCGAGTTGACATAAACTCGATTGGGAAAATTGGCATTGCAGGAATTACTAGAATAGACGTAGCCCAAAAAGCACCTTCGAGAAAGGCTATAGAAACAGCATTAAAGACAGCTACCGCAAAAGTCAGGAAAGATGACAGAACGGAACAATTATTGAGAAGTAATGTATTTATATATTCAGAGCTCATTACTTGAGACAATTCTACGAAATATTTTCTTCATTAGGTAATACAAATCGTTGATATGGATTGGTTGGTTGTTTTCTATGGACTCTTATATATATATACATATTTGCGCGCGTTTGTGTGTGTGTGTGTGTGTGTGTGTGTGTGTGTGTGTGTGTGTGTGTGTGTGTGTGTGTGTGTGTGTGTGTGTGTGTGTGTGTGTGCGTGTGAGAGAGAGAGAGAGAGAGAGAGAGAGAGAGAGAGAGAGATAACTCAAGTACCCAAATGTATTATTCCAATTTATTAAGACAAGTAAAAGAATTTATTTGAAGATTAGAGATAAACGATAAGATTTAAATAAAGCCAACCTCTTACAAGGTTCTAGGTTTAAAGCATGCACGTGATATTGATAGGAATTTTACTAGAGTCTTAGGTGTTTAAAGCTCCACTCTTGTTATTTAGAAAAAATTCAGAGACATAACTTACTCTGTTACTAGTTAGACTAATACTAGTAATCTCTTTCTTTATCTTATCGAAAATTAGGTAGAGCATCTACATGTTCGTTATTTCATTACATTATCATCATACAATACGGAATTAATTTAGAAAACCATGATTTTATTCAGAATTTGATACACCAGACATCCGGACAGAAGGTTTCGGTCCGCATTTACTTACCAGTCTCGAAGCCATAGAAATAAGTGAAAATGCCCAGGTCATGATAGAAACTGCAAAGAATGCCGTGAAAAAGTAAGTTTTGCATGATCATTTGTGTTAAATGTTGTTTAGAAAGATATATATATATATATATATGTTGTCTCGATATCTCTATAGTATGATCCTCATATATCATGTACTGTGTTACAGATCTTGATTCTACTGACGAGGAAAGGTAACACTAGGCCACCGAAAGCTGAATATTTAGTTCAGTCTAGGTGGCCGAGTGGTCTAGAGCGATGTACACAGTGCAGGCGGTGTTTTCTCGATATCTCAATAGCATGAGTTCGAATCCCGGCGAGGGAAGAACCAAAATTTGCTTCCGCAAATTTGCAGATTTAACATTGTTGTGCTGATATTTAGAGTAATTATGAATATAATATGTGTATCACCTTCAATGGATGGATCAGTCGTAGAGTTGTCACTTGTTTTAGACGTAGTTATATATATATATAGATTCTACCACTGCATCGAGTGTGATACGATATTTATCCACTCGAGACAGTTAAATTTTCATGCTGCGTTCACACGTAATTCGAATTGGATTCGCATTAACTAATTCGAATTAGTTTAATTCGCATTCGAAACGTTTAACGTCCAAACGTAAATTCTAATTCGAATTGCAATGCGCGTCAAATTCGCTTTACTGTCCTAACGACGTTAACTTTTAATTCGTATTAACAAAAACGTATTTCTAATGCGAATTGGATAATGCGATTTAGCCAATTCGAATCAATTCGAATTAAAAAAAGAAGAGTGTGTGAACGCGATTAGCGAATTCGATTCGCATTCGATTCGAATTCAATTCGAATTAATGCTGCGTTCACACGTAATACGAATTCGATTCGCATTAACTAATTCGAATTAGTTTAATTCGCATTCGAAACGTTTTACGTCCAAACGTACATTCTAATTCGAATTGAAATGCGCGTCAAATTCACTTTACTGTCCAAACGACGTTAACTTTTTTAAAATTCGTATTAACAAAAACGCATTTCTAATGCGAATTGGATAATGCGGTTTAGCCAATTCGAATCAATTCGAATAAAAAAAGAAGAGTGTGTGAACGCGATTAGCGAATTCGATTCGCATTCGATGCGAATTCAATTCGAATTAAATGTACGTGTGAACGAGGCATAAATGTACGTGTGAACGAGGCATCAAATTTAAAACGCGAGGCTCGCCGAGCGTTTTAAATATTTAAAATTTAACTGTCGAGAGTGGATAAATATCGTATGACACGAGATTTTGGTGGTGGAATCTGTTTCTCTAATGATTTTCAAACAATATGCAGGCAAACTTATTCCTTCTTTTTGAATGATCTGCAAAAAGATGTGTTCTTTCTATGTGACGTCATCAGGCATGGTCGCCTTTTTTCATGCAGTCACAATAGGAAATTCAGAGGAAAGCAAGAAAATTCGACGTCATAATCCGATTTTAACCAATGAAGAACTGAGATCAAACGAACCACACGTTAATTACATTTTTTTATACAATGAGTGCAGAAAGGGATAAATTGACGAAGAATTAGAGAAATGTGTAAATATATATAATTCGTCTAACTAACAGCCCAACAATGTTAGATCTGTAAATTTTTGGAAGCAAATTTTTGTTCTTCCCTGGACGAGATTCGAACTCATGCATATATATATATATATGAGTTCGAATCCCGACCAGGGAAGAACAAAAAATTTGCTTCCGCAAATTTAAAGATCTAACATTGTCAGGCTGTTATTTAGACGAATTATGTATACATAATGTGTTTTCAGCCTTGTATCACCATCACTGGTGATCCGATGGATAAAATCTGTCGTAGAGTTGTCACTGGTTCAGACGTACTTATAAATATAATTATTTCTGTGACTGTATCTTGCATTAATTTGTAGGATCCTTTACAATAGATATTTCAGCTGATCTGTAACAATTCCATCTTCATGCCTTATATATCATGTACTGTATTACGACGCTAGATTAAAACTGACGAGGAAAGGTAACACCTGGCCACCGAAAGCTTTATTATTGTGAAGCCTAGGTGGTCGAGTGGTCTAGCGCGTTGGATACAGTGCAGGCTATTTGGTGTCACGATATCTCAGTAGCATGAGTTCGAATCCCGGCGAGGGAAGAACAAAAAATTTGCGAAAGCAAATTAACAGATCTTACATTGTTGGGCTGATGTTTAGACGAGTTGTATATATATATATATATATACATGTCTAAATTGAAACCTATGATTGCGTTGGATAAAAACCGCAATTTTTATACGTGTGCATGCAAAACAAATTTCTTGGTAGAGGGGTCTAAATACAGCACAAACAACATTTTCCATTGGTCTTTTGGAAAATGTTGTTTGTGCTGCTGTATTTAGACTCCTCTACCAAGAAATTTGTTTTGCATGCACACATATAAAAATTGCGGTTTTTATCCAACGCAATCATAGGTTTGAACGTTGTTTTCAATTTAGACTTGTTTATATTTTTTCGTTTGGGCTTGTATTATTTTGCCTTCGGGTTTATATAATCCGTTCATCCTATTTCGACTCTTCAAAATTCAAGAGTCAATCCAAAATTGAGGTAAATTATATGGCCTTCCAAATACCGTTTCGATTTCTAACATCACTGAAGAGACATTAATTGTCGAAATCCGGATATGGTGTACAAATTTTTGCACCTCATGTTTGCGATATACCATCTTTTCCGCAAGTTTATTGTTTTCTGTTTGATATTAAATTTATAATTAAGATCCATTTTGTTACATCTGGTGATCCGTTTATTTGGCAATCGCCATGGCAGTCAGGAGGGTTTAAGAACATCCGTTGTTCGACCTGCTAGTCAAATGCGTTTTGTTAAAATATATATAAACATTTGTTGTTCGACCTGTTAGTCAAATGCGTTTTGTTAAGATATACTTTTTCACATTTTTTGTCTTTTGGAAAATGTTGTTTGTGCTGTATTTAGACCCCTCTAACAAGAAATTTGTTTTGCATGCACACGTATAAAAATTGCGGTTTTTATCCAACGCAATCATAGGTTTGAACGTTGTTTTCAATTTAGACTTGTATATATATATATATATATAGCAAACTACATGAATTCGGTGTAAGTTTCTAATGCATGATTACGATCTGAGGTACAATGTATTTCACTCTCTATTGTCAACTTGACTATTCACTCCTTTTCACTGGTTTTTGTTCTGCACCTTCGTAACTTTTGGTTTTCTTTTGCTTCGAAATTGATTTCGCCTTCCGACTGCTCTGTTTTAAGCACAACTGACGAGTCTTGAGTAATGAAAAGGGAGCCTTAAAGTGGTAAGTCATATTATTTAATAAGTGAAGGAACAATTATAGTTTCAAAGGCATCTTTTCTATAAAATAAAATAAGAAAAATGGTTAAATAAATGTAGGAAAAGTGAGAACCAGTTGAACGAAATTGAATATAGTTAAAAGCTTTAAAAAGTTGAAACGAATTCGAATTAACTTCGAGTTTTTCTTGTCGCTTATGCAGACCTCTCTTAATATTTAATTTTATGCCAGAGCATGTTTTCGCAATTTTGCATTTTTTTTGCGAAATTAACGGATATAAATAATTGCAAAAAATATCATTCTGCACGCCGTAAGAAATGACAATTCTTGGGTATGTAAATGTGATAACATTTTCATCTGTTGCTATACTTGCTTATTTTATTTTCACTTTTGTATATAAAATGCAGGAAACAGTTGTGTACAAAAGTGAAAATAAAGTAAGTATGTACATAAAGTAACAGAATATTCATTTTCATCCCGTCTCTGGGAAGATTATTTATTTTCAGCTCTTACTAGGCCAGGATATTCATTTTCAAAAATCCTCCCCCTTCCTTACTCCAAGAAGCTCAAATGGTCGTCCCCTTACAATGTTACTGAAATATTGACCCAACGAATGTATATAAAGTGCGCTGTGTACGGTTTTTTTTATATGATTATATTTATTACGAATCTGTAACGTTTAACCGAATGAAAAATATTTTAGGATTTTTATGCCGAAATTTACTGATTGTAGCATTGATAAACAATCAACACAGAATCATGAAGCATATGGAAAAAAAATAAGTTAGATTGATAATATCTTCTGTCCACGTTTTTCTACCTTATCTTTGATTACGGGTTTTTCCTTCGCATGTGCGCTGTTAGGTTGCCGAATTTCTATCAAGATGATGATGGATGGCTGCTTAACGTCCATTGGCAAATTAATATGCATAATCCGGACGAGAACATGTTAATGTTATATGAATAATTACCCTGTTTTGTACTAGACAGACACGCTGAGCCGCATTTTTAACGTGCTAGTTCACAAGGTAACAGTCCGCAGGAAGACATGTTACCTTACTCCGAGCCGACCAGTTTTTTGTTTTTACTCCTTATTGCCGCGTGCATAGCGGAGAGGCAGCAAATAACAATTTTAAAGTCTGGTTTGACCCGGCCGGGGTTGGAACCCACGACCTCCCGCACTCGAGGCGAACATGCTACCACGAGACCACCGAGGCGGTGAAATTGTCTACCTTATCTATGATTACGGGATTTCCTTCTCATTAACGCTGTTAGGTTGCCGATTTTCTATCAAGAAAAGTCATGGTTACGGTCACTACATACGGAAAAAAAGTCGGTGATTTAGAATACGATAAGACAATAATGCAATTGCAGTACATTTTTGAAGATTTTGATAAAATAAAGGATTTTCTTTTAAAAGAAAGTCTGTATATGTATACGTGTTTTATAGTTAGATAGCCATTCAGTAATGTAAAACATATTACATTTTGTTTGTTAAGTATCATATAGTTTTAATGACTAAACAACGGCAGTATGGTTTAAAATACGGATAAATATGAATGAAAGACGTGGGGCGAACGTCAATGGGATCTAGCAATCAAACGACGAACATAAACAAGATATATCATGACGGCAACATCTATAGACTTCAACGATCTAAATCACAGCTAGTCAATAAAATTATGTAAAACAATGTATAGTCTGCCATTAACCTCAAATCTTTCAAATACCAAGACATTAAGGTATGAAATAAGACGATCATTGACCAGGTACTTGACGTTGGAGATGCACATGAATATATCTTACTATATCTCAATCCTCTTAATTTTTTGATAGATCAGTACGGATAAACAAAACTTACATAAAAGCATAACATTAAACCAGTTTGCGAAAAACACATAAATCTTAAATAACTGTAAAATGATAAGAAAAAAAGAGTACACACAACATGGAAAAAACCCACAAGAATGATCAATATTACACCACATACAGGATTGCTTACAGGCACTGAAAGTACGCTCCACTGAGTAGAATGCTTACAGGTACTAAAAGTAAGCTCCATTGTGTAGAATGCTTACAGGTACTGAAAGCACGCTCCATTGAGTAGAATGCTTACAGGTACTGAAAGCACGCTCCATTGAGTAAGATGCTTACAGGTACTGAAAGCACGCTCCATTGAGTAGAATGCTTACAGGTACTGAAAGCACGCATCATTGAGTAGAATGCTCACAGGTACTAAAAGCACGCTCCATTGAGTAGAATGCTTACAGGTACTGAAAGCACGCTCCATTGAGTAGAATGCAGTTTGTTTTCAACCACTATACTACTCTGCAAAGTTATTCGTTACATTCACGACTCATAGACTTTTACCATTTTCTTTTAGGTTAAGAATTGATAAAAGCCAGCGTAGAAAGGTCTTGGAGCAAATACCAGATGGTATTCTTAACAAAATAAAGAAACAAACAAGCTGCCCATTTGGAGCAGTACAATGTGACCCGACTTCTAAATATAGAACAGCTGATGGCTCATGTAATAACCTGGCTAACCCATTATGGGGAAAGTCCCATACACCTTTTGAAAGGTTTATACCTAGTTTTTATGAGGATGGTTAGTATATATTGCTTTGTTATTAGAAACCCAGTTTAATGGTCAATAAAAAGAATGCTAATCCAGCTTAAGAAAGACATATTAAATTCATGAATAATTCATCGTAAATCTACCTTTTGAAAAAACTTGAAAACAAAAAATCCCCCGATCATTTTAACGTTCAATTTGATACTAAGCATGATGATAAAATACAATGTTGTATGATAAAAGTACAAATTATTTTGTTTACTTTTTTATTACATGAAAAAAAAAACACTATAACTTATAACAGTGCACAGTTTACATAGGCAATCTTTTTAATACCATAAAGCCCAGTACAAAAAGTAAAGTTAATGTTTACAGCACTAATTATTGTTATATCTTATAAATATTTCTAGATTTAGATGAACCGCAGCTTTATTTAAAACGTCATGAAATAAATATCTGTTTAATCTTCCCTTATTAATGATATCATATACAAATTTATAACTTTCTATGCCCCCTCTTCACTTTCTATGCCCCCTCTTCATATCTTGAATTGTTGAATTCGTCAAAAAGTCTTTTATTTAAAGTTTGTAGTTTATAATAAAAGCCAGGTTTTATGATAATGGAGTATCATCAATCCATCAAAAAAGGACTTCAAACAAAACTAATTTAGATAAATTAACATTAAAGAAACGGAATAAAATAATTCGAAATAAGGTATCGTGCAAATTTAGCTTATTTCTGTTTCTATGCTTCCTCAATTGATTCGGAAGGAACTGATAAGTCTTATTCAGTCGACACTAGCGTCTGACGTACATAATTATAAGCCCGGTGTATCGTTGATGACTTTAATATGTTGAATCTGATTAAACAAATAATGTTACATAACATGTAATGTCAATTTTTTAGGTTTGGATGATCCAAGAGCCACTGATGTATTTGGTGACCCCCTCCCTCTAGCCAGAGACATCAGTGTCAAAGTTCACACCGTCAGTGACTCAACAACTCAGATGAACGATTTGAGCCATTTTAGTATGGAGTTTGGCCAGTTTATCAGTCACGATATACAGATGAATGCTTTGTCTAAAGGTAAATAATTGAGGAACTAACTGTAAAAAACCTGACGATCTATCAAGTCTACAACACCAGTCTATTTGGTTTATTTTCTGGGTTGTGTTGTCACCTCATCTTCTTTTTCTAATTCACATTTACATCTTCTATCTTAGAATGGTAATGTTTACCACGTCTTTTCATTCAAATCCACACACATGTATAGATATATATATTTATAAGGAGATGAAGTATGATTGCCAATGAGACAACAATCCACCCAAGTTCAAATGAAGTGGATGTAAGCAATTATAGGCAACCGTATGTCTTACTTGATAGAAACATATGTTATACCACATCTCCTTATCCAATCAACAAATATCTGAGTAACACGTTAGGTGTCTCTAGTGGAACAGGAAATGCTTACCCTTCTCGAGCACCTGAGTTTACACATGATTTTGGATGGGTTCGTGTTGCTCAAATTTAAGCTTTCTGTGTAGTGTTTTATGAACTGTTTTTACACGGTGTCTTCTGTCTTTCTTCTACTCTTTGTTTTGATTAACGCCTTTGATATCTACTTCCTTTCATCGAAAAAAAAAATCTTTCACCTTTCAGCAAGATAAAAAAAAAAGACGCTGGAACAATGTATGAATTGCACACAAGAAAAGTGAAGATATCATGCAAAATTTTCATTAGTCTGTCTAGAAAACAAACGAAGAGACCATGTGCTCAATCAAATACAATGTATGTAAGAAAACTTATCAAAATGCGTAGTTCAGTCTAACGGCATTACCAAAATATTTTTGTGATTGAACGTTTTTCTGTCGAATATCTACACTTGGAAGTTGAATCATCCGCCCAAACAAGAGCCCTTTAAGTGTGGTTGAATTTATGAAAAGCATAAGTAATTGGTTGTATTGAAATGTTTAGCTTACAAATTCAAAGTACTAAGTATTAGTTAATTACGTTAAAGGACGCCTTATCTTGCGGACAGATAAAACAATATCAAGATTATGTAAACAAAATTTTGTTAACATCGAATTTACAAAATTAATTAAAAAAAAAATGTTATCTATAATTCTTTCTTCTCCATTTCAGGACAATATTTGTCTAATCTGAACTGCTGTTCGTCTCCGCAAAGGTACAAATATGTTATGGATATTTAAAGGCGGCAATTCTTCATATGAAATATGTACAGTTAATGCCGATTCTTTCAACTTTTTGTGTTTTACATATTCAACGAACATCCTAAAATCTGAAGATGTTTGTCCTTTACGTTTATGAATGCACTAAAGAACAAGGAGTGAGGATTTAAACAACTAGGTCACTGTACGGTCTTCAATAACGTGCAAAACACATCCAAAATGGAGAGGGGACGTCTATTTGATTTTATGGGGACGGGTTGGTTGTTGAAATCAATATGACGGCCTGGTAAGAATGAACAGAACTGATCTGTAATATTTTTGTCCAATCAAGATTGAAATCAAAGACATACGAAAAATGTAGTAACGACATACTTCCGTAATGAAATATAGTTTATATTTGATTAAACATTTACATGCTTGAGAACGTTTTATTTAATTTGCTTCCAAAAGATTAGTCTAAAGCGTGTCTGATGAATGTTTTTTTTATAGAAACACGTGACATACGCACTTAAATTGATTGAATCGTACTATGATCCCACTTGGTGGGTGGGGGTTTAGAATAGCTTACTTTTCATCTGTTAGCTAAAAGTAATGAGCATTTTATATTTATATTTATATTTATATTTATCTTTCATCTGTCTTGTAATTTCATTTATTTCAGGCGAAATTGTTTTCCCATTCCATTGCCAACGAATGATCCATTTTACAGCACCTTTAACAGAACTTGCATGAACTTTGTAAGAGCACTCGGAACAACTAATTTGGAATGCACACTAGGTAAGTACGAAATGTTCAGATGTAACTTTATCTGAATTGCTAAATAGACATGCTTGAACTGTTTTTTAGAGCTTCACTGTGTATCCCACGAACCCGAAAATATACGCATAAAAAAACCAGGAGCACAGTCTCATTTGTAATTAAATATAACATTCTTTAAGTCTCTAATCCCTTTCGAATACTATTGATTGTACCACACATATGAATAGTTGTTAGTTTTATGCATATTTTAACGTATTTGAAGTTATCATTATGGCATCGTCCAAGATGTTGTTTAAAAAAAAATGTTTAATCTTACATGGAGCCTCATATGGTATGTATTGAATCTTAGTTCAATCACACAATTTGAAAACAACACCATGGCAATAGAAAATCGATATCATTCCTTCAGCAGTTTTGACTTACAATTGTTATAAAAATGTAAGACATCAACGCTCCCGCTTTTTGGTCAATGCACTAGATCAATTGGAAAATTTGACTATATAGCCTTAAGGATAAAAATATACGAACAAAGTGAGATGAGATCGTGTTGACATATATTTTGTCACATCAAATGGCCTTCATCAGTGTCGATCTCTTTCCAAAATGTGATAAAACAATGAGTGCTTTGTGTGTTAAAAGAGCTCACTCATTCATATCGATAATCTTGCACATTATCCAATAAAAAAAAATAAAAAAAAAATAGCAAGCGTGATTGCGTTTGTTTTCATCCCCATACTAAAAAGACGCGTACGGGTATCTATGGCATCACATTACTGGCCAAAAGATCACCATTCGATCTGTCTACAAATATTGTCCCCAGTAAAGACAGTGCATTACTTGTAATTTTTACTCGATATACCTTCCGAATCCATCTCCTCATGCTCCATGTACAAAACAGAAGCTAACATGGAGGGGAGAACGGGGGTCTAGGAAATTGCACCGTAAACAGTTTGTATGGGTCATTCGAAAAGGGTCAAAAATGACAACGTCTAAAGCTGTAAAATTGAATTTTTTTAAAATAAATAATAATATAATCTATTGTTTTTTAGAAATGCACTACATGTGAAAAATTATTCGTTTTTGGATGCATGTGTTATTTTTATACCACTTTTTTATATGTCAGTTAATCTGCACGACTCGTGTGACCCTACTTGACCCGAACGACGAAGGAGTTACGCATTTATGAGACATGTTAATTGTTAATAAAAAGTACTGTCCTTTTTTTCAGGACCACGACAACAGTTGAATATGAATACACATTATTTGGACGGTTCTGCTGTTTATGGTTCGAATAAAGTAACTGCCGATAGTCTTCGTCAATTTTCTGGTGGTGAGTTTTATTTAAATCAATGATAAATATGTTTTTATGTTTTACAACCTTTCATGTTTCCCTCCATTTTTCCGGGATATAGTTGAATTGGTATATAGTGTCAGTACCAAAAGTTTCAATCATTGCATCGGGTATTTTTGGATTAAGACTGATTCGCTAGTTTAAAAATTGAAATGATTGAAATATACCTCATATGTTATTTATATGTATGTACATATGCTGAGTGCATAAGTACTTATTGACCTTTTGAGTTTTTCAACATTTTTTCAAACTTCTTTGTTAATGAAATTGGTAGTGCATTTTTGCAGATTACTGAAATAGATGTAAATATTTACCACAAAGTACTAGGTAATACCACTTGATTTGGATATATCTATGTCCCACGGCATCAATGAGTCAGATGCAGAAATATTTCAGTCTGCCTAAACCAATTTCTTGAATAACTAACTGGATACATATACGTATATTTTGTAGCTGGACTAACAATATTCCTAGAATATTCTTTTATTATGGAGTTGACAAAATTATACAATTTTTCAAATGAGACATTTATAAATGAATAATAATAAATAAGCTTTATTTAGAGTCGGCATAGTATACAAACAAGGACATAACATGAGCTCAAATGAGCTTTTAACTGACATTTATCCGTTAAAGACCAAAAGACAAAGATGTGAACAAAAATGTAATACCGTACAGCCTTCAACAATGAGCAAAACTCATGCCGTATAATTAGCTATAAAAGGACACTGGATAATAAAAAGTGAAACAATTCAAAAGAAAAAAAATCAGTGTCCTGATTTACTCTAAAACAACAAAGCACTGTCATGTGAACGCCTATTTTCGTCATTCAGGTCGATTGAAAACTTCTACCAACAATCAGCTGCTCCCTAAAGACATACCAAACAAATCATCATGTATCTTACCAGCAAATCCAAATATAAAGTGTTTTCAAGCAGGTATGTAACAATTATTTACAATTTGCAAAACATTTGACTTTGTAAAATGCGTGTAAATTTTTATCTTTTTATTATGCATAAAAGAAGTATACGCCGATGAGACAAAAAAAATGAAAATAACCAAAAGACATCTAGAGGGCAACATGCAGCCCGCCTTCAACAATAGACAGTTGTCTTTACTATATTTCAAACTCTATAACGGAGTCTATTAAACCCATGATTAGATTAAACCAAAACAATCTGCCATCAACACCAAATTCCTAATTTGACTAAATTCAGATTGTACACTTCTACGAAACTATCAGTCCCCGAGGGTATCATCAGCTCAGTAGTCAGTACTTCGGTACTGACATGATTTATAACAAACTTTTCTAAAATTGCCCGTTTATAAATTTTGAAATTATAAAGAAACTAAGGTTTCAACTCCCTCAGGCAAAGTTGACCTTAGATGGATTTGGCTATTTGTTTTAGGTATTTTTGTCATATAGCTCTTCAACTGTTTCGGTACTTATACATCCATCGGATTTCAAATGTTTGGCTTTGAGCGTTCCTGATGAAGGTAAATCCAGAAAAGCGCTTCGGACGCATGAAATTATTAAACGGGTTGTTTTCAATTTTTTACATCACTGGGTCGATACCTCTGCTGGTGGACTATCAGTCCCCGAGGGTATCATCAGCTCAGTAGTCAGTACTTCGGTACTGACATGATTTATAACAAACTTTTCTAAAATTGCCCGTTTATAAATTTTGAAATTATAAAGAAACTAAGGTTTCAACTCCCTCAGGCAAAGTTGACCTTAGATGGATTTGGCTATTTGTTTTAGGTATTTTTGTCATATAGCTCTTCAACTGTTTCGGTACTTATATATCCATCGGATTTCAAATGTTTGTCTCTGAGCGTTCCTGATGAAGGTAAATCCAGAAAAATGCTTCGGACGCATGAAATTATTAAACGTGTTGTTTTCAATTTTTTACATCACTGGGTCGATACCTCTGCTGGTGGACTATCAGTCCCCGAGGGTATCATCAGCTCAGTAGTCAGTACTTCGGTACTGACATGATTTATAACAAACTTTTCTAAAATTGCCTGTTTATAAATTTTGAAATTATAAAGAAACTAAGGTTTCAACTCCCTCAGGCAAAGTTGACCTTAGATGGATTTGGCTATTTGTTTTAGGTATTTTTGTCATATAGCTCTTCAACTGTTTCGGTACTTATACATCCTTCGGATTTCAAATGTTTGGCTTTGAGCGTTCCTGATGAAGGTAAATCCAGAAAAGCGCTTCGGACGCATGAAATTATTAAACGTGTTGTTTTCAATTTTCTACGAAAATTTCGAAAAAGTTTGTAATGTCTTCAACAGTTCAACCAGATGTGAATATGAAGAAATATGGAACACTGTGGCTTTGATTTGTTATAAATGTTTACAATAAGAAAACAACTGTTATAGTTAACTACATATTTTCAATCTCACATTATCATTACTGTTTTTTTTTATTACTTAAGTCTATTTATAATTAGTATATGTAACATGCCTTTTATGGGCCGATGATTGGTTGAATAAAGTATTCGTATTCATTTATTTTTGTTGGCTGAATTAGAAATTGCAGTGGTGTTTTGATAATATTTTAATTTTGATAGATCTTTAAAACTAAAGTTTTTCATTTGCAAAAATGTATATTAGACAATAAACACATAGTTAAAAACCAAGTAATAGAATATTAAGAGAATGTGAATTATATATAATAAAGAATATTAAAACTAATGTATGACTTCATATAATACGAATTGTGTTAGTTGCACTACGACTTACCACAGTATAAACTATTTATATAAGAATAAGGAGGTGTTGTTTCATTGCCAATAAGACCAACTATCCATAAAGACCAAAGGGCAAGGTCCTTTGGTGTCTGGTGGATAGTTTGTCTGATCGGCAATCATTCCACATATCCATTTAAATACATATTTCTCATATTGAATCAATTGCATACTTGTTCGGTAGGCGATCCCAGAGTTAACCAACAACCAGCCTTGATTGCATTACAAACTATATGGATGAAAGAACACAATCGCATAGCTAACACACTAACACAGTCGAATGGATGGACTGATGAAAAGGCGTACCAAGAAGCCAGAAAAATTATTGGTGCCATGATACAACACGTAACCTATAATGAATATTTACCCCATATCCTTGGTGATCAGCAAATGATAGATCTAGATTTGAAACCAAAATCATCCGGATATTTTACTCACTATGATACCACGACAAAACCACAGATTAGGAATGGTTTCTCAGCCGCAGCTTTCAGATTTGGGCATAGCATGGTCAGACAGAGATTAGCATATAATGGCCCATTACATTCTAATCAAAACCCGCTACTTCATAATGAATTCCTACGACCAGATAAGATATATGATGTAAATGGCGGAATAAGTTCTGTAACAAGGGGTCTTTATGAAGAATTTTCGCAAAAGGTCGACAGAAAAATGACCAAGGAACTAACCGAAAGACTCTTTGAGAGAACACATGGTTTTGGTGGTGACCTTGCAGCCGTTAATGTACAACGAGGAAGAGATCACGGTATAGCTAGTTATAATATTTGGAGAATGGTCTGTGAATTGACACCTGCCGATGATTTTACCGCTGGCGTGTCGGGAGGTTTAGAGCATCATTCGACAGCCGAAGCACTGGCACTTGCAAACACTTACAGGTACGGAATTTCAAATTTACCAGTCGTATTCGCATATCCATTCATGTATTTATAAATTATGAAGAGACTAAGTAAGCCGTCAACTCCCTCAGGAAGTTGACGGCTATAACTTTTTGGTCCTTTTTTTTTTGTCATATTAATATTGCTCTTCACGTTTCGGTTGCCTTTAAAATATTTGACCTTGTGCGTTCCTGATTAGGTAAATAAAAAAAGCACTTCGGACGCATAACATTTATAAAGTGGTATCTTAATTTTTTCAGTACTAATTTGATTTTTTTTTCTAAATCAAGACTTTTATCAATATCACGTTGGGATATTTTATCATTTGTTTGTTTTAAAACTAAAAAATACAAAAAGATAAATTTTAAAGGAAGAAATTGCAGAAACTTTGGAAATAGACAATTAATAGGACATGTGACGTCATTATTCATTTTGTTTTTACAACAAAGTTTCATTTTTAAATTGTAACCCTAATGTGTTTCTTTTCATTAGTTCGCCATGGGACATCGACCTATTTACCGGTGGCGTTTCGGAGACCCCAATATCAGGAGGGAAAGTCGGACCTACTTTTGCCTGTATGATAGGATTGCAATTTCGTGCCTTGAAATTTGGTGATCGATTCTTTTATGAAGGTAATACTAACGTAAAGTTTACCCCAACACAGCTGACAGAAATCAAGAAGGCAACTATGGCTAGAATTATTTGCGAAAATACCAACATCAACAGCATTCCAAGAGATGTTTTCAGAAAGACTACCTCTAGGTAAAATATAAGGTTATTTAACTTTGGAATAATTTTATTTCAAATGTGTATGTGTGAAGCTTCATGTAGGTCATGAAAGAAGCATATTAACAGCTTAACATACTCGCAGACATTCTTAATTCGTCTTTGGGTCATAGATTATTTGCTCATGCCATCGAAAGAATCTGCATGGTTAATGTTAAAATACTTTGCTCTGATATCAAATTTGTAGTAATTTTATTTTATTGATGTGGAATTCACTGGCTGATCCAAACTAAAATTACAGATAAAAACCGTATCTATCGTCAATTCAGGAACCAGACTTAATGTAACAGTGGCGAAAATACAGAATACATAACTAAAGATAAAGATAATTAAGACAATTTCATAAATTACGGCCTTCCGTTACTATGGTCATATTTGCTTCAGTAGTATAGTCATTGTTTTCTTCCTTTTCTTGAGGATATTTGAAACAAACGAGTTTTTACTTCTTTTGCAGTAATCCCGAGATAAGTTGTTCTTCCCTGCCAGAATTGAATCTTCAGAAATGGAAAAATTGTGTTGATGGCGGATGGTCAGGATTTGTAAAGAAAAACAGATGTGTAAAAATGAGAGTTTGTAACAACCCAAAACCAAACAGCTGTGGGAAAAAGTGTGTAGGGTCACCAGTAGAATTCACTTGTCTTAATAATATTAAAAAACTCAAAAATATCAAACTACCAAATATCAATGGACTCCCGAATATCGAAAGACCAAGCATAACTTTACTCAGGAATATCAAAAGACTCCAAAGCAGAAGGAGAAAAGGTTAATATCATTTATAAATTGACATTCAGATAGTTAGATTTAGTGCTGATTAAGAAAAATGCTCAGTCGTCATGTCAAACTTAACTAACAAAAACGAGCCACAAGACTGTACGAAACATTAACACACTAGTAAACATTTATACAACATCATGGCATTCCCTAAAACAATTCACTATATTTTGAACAGACATAACAGGATGGAATATTCAATTTTTTTTTGGCAAAAGACACTGAAAAAAAGGTGAGAAAACTTGGGAAATATGAAAGATATAAACAGTTATACTTATCTCATGGATACACACGAAGGGATAAGAGCGAATGGTATCATTTAAAATCTATGACGTAATTCCATAATGTTGGAATGAAAGAAGGTGTGGTGGACTGAGAAAAACAAACGACAATAGCTCGGTCATTTTTTTCTTAAACTAACAATTACTGAAACATTCACGCTGCAGTCGTTACAAACAATTCTAATGACAAATTGATTTGGGCTGTTCTTTCTTTTGCTAGATACTATTTTATCTATATCTGATTAACATCTTACTCTATAATAAATGTTTTTCTTTTTATATCTTGTTTAAATTGATTTAACTTGTTCTTTCTATTGCTTGAGACCATTTTATCTATAATATTTGATTAACATATTACTCTGTAATAAATGTTAGCTTATTGTATCTTGTTTAAATTGATTCGGGCTGCACTTTCTATTGCTAGACACCATTTTATTTATATCTGATTAAAATCTTACTCTGTAATAAATGTTTGATTATTATATCTGGCTTTAATTCATTTGGACTCTGTTCTTTCTTTTGTTAGGAAGGAATAGATTGGTTCCGATGTTCTTACAAATCATTTTTTAAATAAGGGCATTCAATAAAGATTTAAACGAAATAAAACACGAGACTAGTGGATCGCTTTACACGAATTTTTAATATCACTCAGGTCAAATCAATTCGCCGTGTTGGAATCTGAATTGCTATGGATAGTTTCATTGTTCATAATTCAAAACGAATTTCCCTTACGTCATTGGTTGATTTTTTCTTTGTTAAGGATGTTGATAACCAGTCACAACGGATTAGTGTACGCTCTTGAAAATAATCTGTCGCATTTTAAAATAATTTTTAAATTAAGGAACAAAATGAGAAAGAAGAAAATATCTTTTAAATTTCCCGCTCTTTTCATGTAGACATAATTATTTGCACTTTAATGGGACAAATATAAGAAGTGAACTAATTTCTTGTTGTAGAACTATTTACATATAGTCTTTGAGAACATTGTTTAACTATTAGTTAAAATTGGGCTATGAACAAGATTTCATTTAAGGCGAGTACCTTGTGTATTTGGTGTTTTTGTTATTTGTTTTTGTTCTTAGTCTAGATTTCAGGAGTCAAACTGTTTTTTTAAAGTTGGGTTTGATGCTGAGTTGCTACATTACTGTTCCAGGTTAGGGGGATAATTGAGGTATCAAATCGCGCATTATTTTTTTATGTAACTGTCCAAAGCCAGGAACAAGTAACATCTGTGTGTGTCGTTGATAGCTGTCTGGAAAAATGATTTCTGTCATTTTTGTGAGATGAATCCGGCCTTTGTTTTTTTCTTTTGCTTTGTTTCACATTTTGAATTGGTTGTATGTCTGTGATGTATATTTACAGTTTTGGCTGCTGGATCACAATTATTGACACGTTTACCAATAATGTCTGTTAAGATGGCATGCTCATCCAATTTTGTCAATATAACAGAACTATAAACAACTTTCATACAACTGTCATACAAGTAGGATGTTTAGCTAGCTATAAAATCAGGTTTAACCCACTTCGGAAAATGCCTGCACCAAGTCGATAATATGACAGTTGTTTTTCCGTTCGTTCCATTGGTAGAAAAAGTACAGCGTTTGATTTTTCAGGTTTTATAGGCTTCCTCTTTTTGAATCTACCTTGGAGCTCGGTATTTTTTTTTAACATACCTTTATAAAAATAAGGAGATGTGGTATGATTGCCAACGAGAGAAATATCCACCAAAGTTCAAATGAAGTGGATGTAAGAAATTATAGGCAACCTTAGGGCCTTCAACAATGAGAAAAACCCATACCGTATGGTCGGTTATAAAAGGCTCCGACATGAAAAATATGAAACAATTCAATTGAGAAAACTAACGGCCAAATTTATAACAAAACAATTTACGAAAAACAAATATGACAGACATGAACCAACGACAACCACTGAACTACAGGCTCCTGACTTGGGACAGGCACATAAAGAATGTGGCGGGGATGGATACAAATAGAAATACATCAAACAACAAGAATGTGTCCATAGTACACGGATGCCCCACTCGCACTATCATTTTCTATGTTCAGTGGACCGTGAAATTGGGGTCAAAACTCTTATTCGGCAATAAAATTAGAAAGATCATATCATAGGGAACATGTGTACTAAGTTTCAAGTTGATTGGACTTTAACTTCATCAAAAACTACCTTGACCAAAAACTTTAACCTGAAGCGGGACAGACGGACGGAGGAACGAACGAACGAACGAACGAACGAACGAACGGACGGACGGACGAACGAATGGACGCATAGACCGAAACACATAATGCCCCTAGATGGGGCATAAAAACACAGAGTGGACGTGGACGGGTACTTATACATCCCCACAACAAAAAGACACTAAGTACAGATCTGAGAGTACTCGCAGTTACTGACAGCTATTTCAAAGCCAATAACAACTAATAAAACAAATCATGTATCTAAGACTTTGTTTAGCTTACTGTACGGTATATGTTTTGCTCATTCATGAAGGCCGTAAAGTACGTAACGTGTAATTGTTAACATATCTATCCTTCGGTCTTTATGAATAATTGTCTATTTGGCAATCATACCACATCTCCTTATTTTAACAACTAAGTACTCTGAAGGAAATAGTCTTCAGTGTGCGTTCAAGGAAGGATTGTAGAAGACCCGGAAACTTTTCATACATAAGATTTAACGCAGAATTAAATTATAAGTGTTAAAACATAAGAGACATCCGGTCACACGTCATTTGTTATGAAATTGCATCTCCTGTAGTGAATCGTGGGATGAATATCATTAAATTTTTTGAGTGAACTAATATTTGTCATATTACAGTTCCATCCAGTCAACTTCTCGTCATCGACTGAGGGAGATATAGTCTTCTGTAACTATTATAATAGAATCTTAATATCGTCACACTTGTCTGAATGAAATCTATTTGATAGAAATAAACAGCATCAATCTATTGAAATAATAAAATTCACTTTTGCTCTATTGCGAATAATGGTCGTAATCATTACCCTGTTTAATGAGTAGCGGATACGTGGCTATATACATATGATACAATACAATTAATGTAGATAAAATACAAATGTAAGATATGTGCATGTAAACTATGTCTTGATTTTTGAGATATCGGATACCCTGTAAGTACAATCACAAGAGTGCACACGCTGAAATGTCTCGCCTTCTTTACAAATCATTGATATTATGTTGATAGTTCTAAATATAAAGCTTTACTACAACTATCACATAAACTTAACATGATCCAAGAAAATGAGGTTAAGGTCATATAAACCAAACAAGAAATACATGTACACCTTACAATCATTCGATACACTAAATATTATATAGTTGACCTATTGCTTATAGTTTCTAAGATACAGACTTAACCAAGAAAACTAAACATTGACTAATGAACCATGAAAATGAGGTCAAGGTCAGATGAACCATGCCAGGCAGACATGTACAGCTTGCAATCCTTCCATACAACAAATATAGTTGACCTATTGCTTATAGTAATAGAAAAACAGACCAAAACACAAAAACTTAACACTGAGCTATGAACCGTGAAAATGAGGTCAAGGTCAAATAAAACCGTCCAGACTGACATGTACATCATAAAATATTTCCATACACCAAATATAGTTGACCTATTGCATATAGTATTAGAAAAAAAGACCAAAACTCAAAAATTTAACATTGACCACTGAACCATGAAAATGAGGTCAAGGTCAGATGACACCTGCCAGCTAGACATGTACACCTTACAATCATTCCATACACCAAATATAGTAGACATATTGCATACAGTATAAGAATAACAGACAAAAACACAAAAACTTAACTATAACCACTGAACCATGAAAATGAGGTCAAGGTCAGATGACACCTGCCAGTTGGACATGTACATCTTACAGTCCTTCCATACACCGAATATGCTAGACCTATTGCTTCTAGTATCTGAGATATGGACTTGACCACCAAAACTTAACCTTGTTCACTGATCCATGAAATGAGGTTGAAGTCAAGTGAAAACTGTCTGACGGGCATGAGGACCTTGCAAGGTACGCACATACCAAATATAGTTATCCTATTACTCATTATAAGAGAGAAATTAACATTACAAACATCTAAACTTTTTTTTCAAGTAGTCACTGAACCATGAAAATGAGGTCATGAACAATGGACATGTGACAGACGGAAACTTCGTAACATAAGACATCTATATACAAAGTATGAAGCATCCAGGTCTTCCACCTTCTAAAATACAAAGCTTTTAAGAAGTTAGCTAACGCCGCCTCCGCCGTAGCCGCCGCCGCCGCCGGATCACTATCCCTATGTCGAGCTTTCTGCGACAAAAGTCGCAGGCTCGACAATAAAACCATGTATTTCTTTCAATACCGATAATATACGGCAGATTGTTAAAAATTAGTATTTTTTAATGCGAATCTTGATATAAATTTTTTGCTGTAAGGTAAAACTGAATTTCTACGAGATTTGCGGTAATATAATATGCCCATGTCTATCAATTAAAGTTATATGAAACTTCAAATTAAAAAAAAAGTTGTGAATATGTTTTATATAATTGAATGGCTAAGTTGTATTATAAAACAAGTGTACATGAACTTTCTTGTGAAAGAAAATCCATTAACTTATCAAAATCTTCAGAAATGTACTGCTATTGAATTGTCTTCCCGTATACTAATTCGTCGATATTTTCCCGTATTCCGTGCCTTAACTACGAGACCTCTCGTTAGAACTTCTACCACCACACAGCGCAAGTGCGAGAGAAAACCGTGATGACAGAATGTAAACAAACGTGCACTGGAAGGTAAATAGTGATAATTGATTCTTAAAGAACAAATTAAATACACAAAATCATTTAACAACAGTTATTGAAAAGTTTATTAAACACATGGGAACGCATAGAAAAACATATCGCCGTTCAATTCACTTATTTTTTTACATTCTTCACGAGCTCTGTGTTGATTGTTTAATTCAACAAATAATTAGCAAAATTTGATAGCACAAAATCCGTATTTTCATGCCAGTACCGAAGTACTGGCTACTGGGCTGGTGATACCCTCGGGGACTATCAGTCCACCAGCAGAGGCATCGACCCAGTGGTAGTAATAACATAAACGGTACCAATTTTTCTGCACCAGATGCGCATTTCGACAATCAATATCTTCAGTGAGGCTCAAGGGCAAAATATTTGTAAATCCTAAGCTTATTAAAAAGATGAAGAGCTATTAACCAAAAAGGACAAAAATATATCCAAATCCGGGCAAGGAATCAGAGCTTTGCATGAGGG